AGTCTTATATAACTTTCGAATTCTTTTTCTACATGCAGTTCGCACTCTTTAGTTTTAATGCTTAAGATTTTCTGGACTTCCACAGCTATCTGTAAATTAGGTTTTTCATGGTTATATTGCGGTTGTATTTTTACAGAACGCTCTTCGCAAACTGTATGATTTGGCACACGAATATGAGAAAGATGCTCAAAAGGGCGCCAAAACTCCGTCACCGGGTTGGTTTTTTTGTTCCTTCGCTTCTTCGACCTCACTGCGCACTTAACCTGCTATAATTGCTCCCTCTTCCTTGCGATGGCAGCTCTGTCCTCTTTGCTTCTCCCTCCTTCTCCTGCGTTTTAAGGTCCGATTTTTTGAAAAAAACCAGCTTATTCATATGTGTAAGGAACTGTGAAAAGAATGAGTTACAAAAGGAATGAAAGCAAGCAGCGAGCGGCGCCAAGTACTGTTTTTTTGCCTTTGCCTTTGAAGTAAAACGAACTACCCCTTTCTTCGTGTGTGCAGGAAAGTTTTTTTTTCCTAAAAGTGCGGCTGAATGATGTTTTTGCCGCAGTAATAAATTTGTTTTTTCAACCATTCGCGATTCAACCCATTTTTCTTCTCGCACAAATTACCGGTTACGATACTTAATTTGCTTAATTCACAGCGACACTGATTGTGCCTTCTTTTTCGCGATCCCTTTGAGTCGCCAAACGTTCTTCCTAAAAATGCGAGTAAAATTTGGCAGAGGTTTGTTTTCACTGAGGCAATCGACATTCCCCGTCCTTTGGCGCTCGAGGGAATGTGCAGCAGAAAGAAAATTACCCTGAAAAGTTTTTGATTAGAAGTTTTTTTCGGAAGTCACGTTCTGAAGAATTTTGCTATTAAATAAGAGTTTCTTTAAGGACAAAAGTATTCGGAAAAATTAACAGGAAATAAAAAGTAAGTTAGGCACGAATCAGTAAAAATTCGGAACTCACAGTGTAAACCAATTATAGATGCTACTCATGATCTTCTACACATCAAATCGTAAAGCTTCAAGTTCCAGTAGACGCTTCGGCGCACCAGTATTCAACAAAAAAGATGAACATTTCGCTTGAACTATCTCTTCTCTCTGACGCTGCGTGAAAAGTGCACGCAGAACAAATAGTAGCCTGATGTTGGGCGGAAGGGGCTGGCCCGCAAAATGTGCTACGCAAAAAAATGCAAAATGTGCTGTAATGTGCTACTAGGCTTGTCCCACTTTCATATTTCTTCCTCGTTCTCGTCCTCTTTAAATATTCTTTTTAGCAGTGGACTGTACCAGCTAGCATGAGACAAATAATTTTGGCAGAGGTTTACTATATTAAATTGCTACACTTGGCGTCAGTCGGATTTTCAGTATCAATTATCCTGGTAGTTTGTAGCAGTACCTAGTTATAATCTGAACAGCCGGAAAATAACGTGCCGCTGTGTTTGCGCATTTGTTGAAAGTACGGCGAATGCAGTGTGCAGCAGTAATTGGTCTGCTTCAAGGGTCAGCTTGT